TGTGTACTCAAAAAAATTCGAACACTTCAGAGAAAAAAGTTTGAAACTTAGGTGAACATTTGTTGCCATTTTTGGAAGTTTTCTACAAATTGTTAAACTTGGGTTTATATGGGGTTTGTTAGAGAAAGAACTCAGTGTTTGAATTTTTCTGAATACACAGTTTTATAGCCCAATCAATTATAGTCTGACAATGTGCAAGTTTCAAGTGACTGAAAGTTACCGGCGATTTTTTAGAATTTTTTCCGCCAAAGGTGTTGCGGTTTTCATCCATATACAAATAAATTGAGTTTATTCATGAATATATGAAAGCCAATGCGACAAAAAAGATTCTAAAAAATTAACGGTAATTCGTAGCCACAGCACATTATCAGACTAAAATTGCAGTGGCTNGTGGCTCACAACTTGGATCATATATGAATCCTAAAAGATTCATATAGGAACAAAGAAATTTTTTTGTTTTTGAAACTCATATTTCTTACCTACCTAGGGCTCCTTTCGGACTCATACATATATTCTGAGCGCTCAGAATATGTTTGCGGGGAATGTGTATTTAACAAGGTGGTGTTGGCCGTATATAAGTAAAAAATTACACTAACAAATTATACGCAGATAGTGTCATTGGTATAAGTTACAACAAACACATAATTTTGACGAAATGCCCCCCACGGCGAAAAACTCTGATGTCGCCCCAACACCACCTTGTTACATACACCTTGGATACAAGTGAGACAAAATCTTTGAAGTGTACAAGTTTTATTTAAATCGTCGACCTTTTTTGTGGAGTTAAATTTTTCTAGCTCACAACGATACATAAGAAATACAACTTTGAAATTGAATTAAGTGAAGCGCACATTAGCTCTGATCCAGTACTCCATGAACTTACAGGTTTTTACACGAACTTGCAGGAAGTTACAGGAAAAATGGTCCCGTACTCCAAAATCCTGTAAATGAGAGCGAGTTTTGGAGAGTTGTGTAGGGAATGAAGTTGCAAGATTTTACCCGAACTTTTTCTTCTGGTAAAATCCTGTTAAAATGTCTAGCAACAAAATTACTCTCTGAGCAAGCAGCACGTCAACCAGTGATCGCTTGACACTTTTCATGATTTTACCAGAAGAAAAAGTTCGGGTAAAATTTTGCAACATCTAAATCTTACAATCTTATTTACAGAATTTTGGAGGAATTTGGAGTACGGGATCATTTTTCCTGTAACTTCCTGCAAGTTCGTGTAAAAACCTGTATGTTCATGGAGTACTGGGTCAGAGCTAACGCGCGATTCTGTCCTTGCGAATTTGGCTGTTAACTTCGAATCCGCAATCCTGCACACACTTGTACGATTTTTTCCCGTCGAAGCCGGATTACAATTCACTTAATTGTCCTTTTTTTCGTACAGAGCTGTGAAACTGTTACCTTGTTTATATGGCACCTAAAACGGTTTCATATATACTCGTGTCAATGTATCACACTTGTGTTACAAGCGTTTATACATACCGAAATAAGTGTGTTCAATGAACACACTTTCAAAGCGTGTGAAAAATCAGCTGTTTTTCAATTTAAAAGCAGCATTCATAAGAAAAAGATGGAATTCAATACACACAAGTTTTTATTTTATTATTTAATGGAGCGGATGCGGAGAAAACGAAAAGTTATTTTTCAACAATTTTTTAACTACCACCACCAAGTGTTGCAGAACTCGTACCATGGAAAAAGCTCATTGAAATGTATCTCATCGTTCCAAAGCGACTTGCCCGAAATATTCTTTCGAGTAAACGTTCCACGATTTCGCAGCATTCATCGTCGAGTACGACTTGATAGTTACTTGTGGTTTCTACAACAATCAGGAAACGAAAACTTTTATTATGAGTCATTCCGCATGAGCAAAGATTCGTTTAACATGCTTTGTAAAAAATTGTCGCCCTATCTACCTTGTCCAGAGGTATTTGTGACACCACCTTTGACAATTTCACACCAAGTCGCGCTATGCTTGTATAAAATCGCTTCATGTGCAGAGTACCGTGTTGTTGGGGATGTGTTTGGGGTGCATAAAAGTACGGTACACAAGTACTTTCACCTCGTAATTAACGCAATACTGCAGCTTCGAGCGGAGTACTTATATTTTCCAAAGCTAGAGGAGGCCAAAACAATCGCTATTGCCTTTCAAAAAATAACCAATATACCTAATATCATTGGTGCAATTGATGGTAATCAAAAACTTCCAAGTGAGCGAAAAATCCGATATTGAACAAAATAATTTAATTTTCAGGAACACACATCCCGATTTTGCCCCCCAGCGATGGCTATCAAGACTATGTAAATAGAAAAGGATGGCCATCGATAGTGATGCAAGCAGTAGTTGATAATAATTACATGTAAGCTTAATCCACCAAAATAATAAAATAAACTGCAGTGACATTAAAACCAATGTATTTTTCAAGATTCCGTGATGTGAGTATAAAATTTCCAGGAAGCACCCATGACGCTACTGTCTTTAGGGAGTCTGGACTTTACAAGTACTCATCGCAAATGATACCAAATTACTACACTGACGTCAATGGAATGCAAACGCCCATGATGCTGATTGGTGATCCTGCCTACCCATTGCTTCCATGGCTTATGAAGCCTTACACTGGCCATCTGGAGCCCGAAGAAGAATCATTTAACTGCTATCTTAGTTCTGGGCGAATAGTTGTGGAAAACGCATTCGGTAGACTAAAAGGTCGTTGGCGATGCCTCTCAAAAAGAATGGATGTTGATCCAGGATTTATTCCTTTTGTTGCTTTGGCGTGTTCAATATTACACAACTTTGTCGAAACAGAAAAGCAGCGCTTTTTGGACTCTTGGTGCACGGACATGCAGAATGAAATCGAATTTCCCCAACCACAAGATGCAGTTTCCAATGAAATCATTAGGGAGGAAAATAGTGATCCGAAACAAATGCGCGATAATATTAAAAACTTTTTAAAAAATAATTTTCCAGTGCGAAAATCACATTTTTAAATAAAACCGAATAACACAAGTTTACAGAAATAGAAAATTGTCCGTCCATGAAATTTTTATATGAATTATGATTAGGAGCTATTAACTACATACATACTACTATTAAATGCAACTAATACTACTAATAATACTACTAATACTAATACTGATAATAATAATAATACCAATAATACTAATAATATTAATAATAATACATATAATAATAATAATACTAATACTGCTAATACCACTACTAATACATACTACTAATTACCTACATACATATATTTTGGTAAAATAATTTAAGTAAAATAAAAGTAAAAATGCGATTTTTGTGTGGGGTGGAGGGGAGTGGGCGTGGCGCCCAAAACGAAAGAGGATGGACCACGATTTTTGATAAGTCATCCCACCTCCTCCTTGAAA